AGCTATCAACACAATTAAAGGCATCACTGTAATCAAAGAAACATGCACGAACAGCTTAACATTTCCTGTCCAAGGAGGAAGAGACACAATGAATAAGGGATGCCAACGAGTCAATGGTTGACCTGGAACTGCAATAGACAAATTGATTGGTATCAGGAGCATTCAGCTGGGGTAATATCTTCTGTAGTAAACTCTTTTCCATGACTTTCAAACCAACAAAAGTGCACACAATCGGTCCCTTTTTGGGTGCTGGGTGCTCGAGCAGTCCGGAATGTAATGTTTAGTAAAACGCTGGTTGAGTAAATTTGCGAAAACAGGGGAAAGGGAAACTGCACATTCTTTGAGCACGATAGGTGGCAGTCCATCAGGATCGCATGCTTTATTAGACTTCAGATTGATGAAAGTTGTGAATACTTCTGTTTGATCAGTAATTAAATTAACAACATTAGGAGAAAGGGACGATCGCTGTTAACGGAATAGGGATGTCGGTTTCACCATTGCTGCATTGGCGATCGTCTACATTGGCAGCTGGAAGATTCTCTTTCGTTTTGAGACCGCAGAACTGAAACATCATTTTCCATGTATCCCGACAATTCTTGTTTTCCAGCAGTGCATGTACATAACCGGCGTTTAATCTCCGCGGTTCAGCCTTGATTGCTTTCGAATGGTCTCTCACCAAAGAGTACTTTTTTTGCTTTGAAAGCTTGTTCTTTCTTCCGACATGATCCTAGGGGACGAAAAACGGTCTAACCATGCGTATAACGTTTCCCACGGAACTTCAAATATTCAGTCAGGGTATCACAAAATATGGAGAGGCCATTATGTACAAATAAAGAGAAACCTGTCTGATCTAATATATCTCTTAGTTTAGTGAAATTTTCGGGTTGAAATTGACGCCGAAAAAGACGACGATCACGATGCCGAGTGTAGAACTGATGATTGGATCCACCGTAGATCGTGGGAGATAGTTTCAGTGTTGCATGATCAGAGGTGCCAATAGGGGAACAGATGCGCAATTTAAATAAGTTAAGGTCGTTAAGGAAACACGAATCAAGACAAGCCTCGAGTTTGGTCGGAAAGTTAGCAACGTTTTGTAATCCAAGGGTTGTCAAAAACGTGACATCAAACCTAATGAAGTCACCACACACAATGCAAAGAGAGGAGTCTACGTAATTTAGTAAAGCGGCGGAGAAAATATCTGTGAACTCATTAAAATGATCAGTGGAACAAGAAGGAGAAATGTAAATGTTACCAAAAATAATATTCCTGAGGTGTTTAGGTCTGCATTTTTACAGTGAAGTACTAATAAAAATGGTAGAATACATATAGACTCGTTTTCCTGATTTACACCAATTGTCATTTATGTATGTGATAACACCACCGCCTCCTTTGCGAACCGGAACGGGTCGGTCAACTCGGCAGATGAAAAAATTATCNAAAATTATCAATTTTAACCATGTTATCATCAATTTTATTATGAAACCAGCTCTCCTGAAGCATTACAACTTCAACCTTTGAATATTCACGTCTCCTTGTCAAATCTATGACATCTGCCATATTACCAAGCAGGGAGCGCACATTTCCACTGATAACTGCTGGAATGCAGATGTTTGAAACTGATCGTTTGCGTAGTGCGAACTGCCATTCAGCTCGATGTTTTCTGGGTAATGTTTTGAGATTTCCGTAAATTCTTCTCCATCTGTTACGAACCGATTTTCCAAAAGAAGGTGAAATCCAGTGGCCGGAAATTCGAAGTTGCTTCATGAAAACGGAAGAGTATTTCACAAAATTTAGGCTGACCATAATTGCATAACGTCTCTATGACAACGAAGGACATGTATCTCAGATAAAATCCGCTGAAGAGTGATTGTGTAGCTCCGAGTCAGACGATGTAACGGACCGCGCGACCAATTTCAAAGGCCCCACCTTTCCAAGCCCGAAATGTGTGAAACGTTTCTCAAGGATGTAGGATACGACTGAGTGGACACCAGCTACCAATGCACTACGGTTTTCACACACCACCCTTCCTTTATTGCCCTTCAGAATATGCCCACGATGAACTTTCGGAGATGCTCATTACAAGAATGCAAACTGATGAATAAATCTCGGACGTTTATAAAGCTGCTCAGACTAATTTAGATGGTGAATGTTTGGATTAGCCCATTTGTTTATTCACAGGCCCGAGGTACTGTTGATGATGCTGGTTGTGGGTTTCACTCCTTGGAAGATCGTTAATTCCCCACTGTTTGTATGCATTTTATTGCGATATAAATGTTTGTGCCTTGTGCCTGTGAAAAAACGAATGGGTTAATCCAAACATTCACCATCCAAATTGATGGAGTCATCCGCACAAGGTGATAACCGTCGACCGTGTAGCTCAAGGGTAATGGTTTGAAGTTCCAGCTCGAACAATCACGGCTCGCGTTCTAACATGGACAATCCAAGAACAATTCTTGGATTGAATTCTTCTTGTGAGTCTCACCAAAAATAGCCTAAAGAACGTCAGTATGAAATAACGTAGATTAGGCTTGTTGTCCACGAAAGCTACTGAGTAAAACAAACCTAAATTTTGAAAAAAACCATAGTCACCAAACCAGTGTCAGCGTGTATGTTTCCGCAACGAGCACACGTCAGAAATATCAGCGAAATTTATCGATCGACACAGAACCGATTTTTACACAGTCAGTTTTACACAGGAATTTAGTCTGTTTGTTATTCTTTTATTTTTGAGAATAAATGAAATGTTTGGAAAACTGCACATATATCTTATCCTCAATATTTCGGGAGAAAGTATCTTATGTATGAACATTGTGGAACTCAGACCTACCTTGTTTTTTTCAAAAACACTGTCTCACCACAAAACCTCGGTTCTGCGGTTAACGTGAGGAAACCACAATCTCCTTCCTTCCCGTCAAAAGCACGGGTTTTTATTAATCGAAATTTTCTTTGTTTGCTACTCTTGTATACCCGACAATCATCATTTCGCCTTATCCTGGGGAGGTCATCGTCAATTATCCGTCGCAGAACTGCAGACTATCCCAGCCCCTAAGATGTATTTCCTGTGTAGCTGCATCATTCAGCTTATATACGAACTCACTCGCGGTACACCTCCACCGAACTCGTGCAGGCTCTAACCCGCTGGTGCAGGATGTTATGAGTCCCTTACTAGTTCCTGATGTGTTGTGATCAACCTGGTTCTATATTTGACTTAGTTAAATAATTCACTTGCATCTGCATTCGGTTGAAACTAACCGGACAGTGGGTAATGAATTGTCTGGTGACTCTTCTTGGGGGCTGTTCGTTTTAGACCAACGGGTTCACTGGTTCGATAAAGAAACAAGTTTTTTCCTCCCCTCCCCCGTTGACCTAGTGATACTCAATGAGTTTTCCTGCTTCCCTACAGTGCGATATAGTGACTCGTCCCACCGCAAACGGTCATACACACAATTTGTCCGAGTGTGAAAAATTGTACAGACCTCTGCACAAATCATTCCAACTCAAACGAACAAATTAGTTTCATTCTACATCGCGGATCTGTTTCTGGCCAGCAAGAGGGAAAACAAAACATTTCCTGTTGGTACATAGTACTCATTTTGATTCAGTTGTTTACCGGGAAAAGGGTGGAAATACGAGAAAAGTAAATAAGAATCTTCTCGGAAGTAACTTCAATCATTTATGTAATCTTATCTTGTGTTTTGCTGATTAACCTGTAAACCTCCAAGTGTTTTTGTTGTTGTTAATGAGGGTGACAATAATTATGATCATGGTCATTTGTGAGCATCGTAAGTGCCTCATCTGGTTGGGAATCTCTTGTGGAGAAAGCCAGATTTACTTTGCATGGTGCTCAAGCGCTCTTTTATGTGGTTACGGTGACACACCACGGGGTTTTCACCGTCGTTTCTCCATCAGACTTGCGCACCGCATTTGATTCCACCTTTTCAATAGAAAGCTTTCTCAGTTGAATGTGGCAAATCAGACCGAGGTCAGTAACTTATGAAAACGGCATTCTGTAGGATTCATATCTGACGAATTCATTCAATTCTATCGTTTTCGCATAACCAAGTATTTGGTGAAAATGAAAACCGTATCCCGTTGACGTCGGACCTGATTTGATGGAGTACTGATAAATCACTTGTGTAATCTGTTTTCTAGGGTTTAAAATTGACCTAAGTCATCCTTTTTCACCTCTCTGACATTTTTACCAACAGCCATTGCTCAGGATCCTATGATGAACAAGCGTAAACAGTGCCTATCAATAGCTGAAAAGCACTTGGAATGATGTGAAATGTGGATCCGTGACGAAAATCTAGACTGCACCTGTATTTGTACGACCAAAAACATTTCCGAGATACATCAACTAATATTTCATCCCTTATTCAATCCGAGATACACCGATAATTGAGATGCAAATAAGCTTCGTTCATGGTTCGGTTCTAGTTTGTACAACTATAGAGTAGTTGATACGGCAGTAAATGGGACTATATTCATGCGGACTGGACGTGTTGAGAGTTTCACAATTCCGGTCGAAACACTGGAATAGATCTCTCTAGCGCTTGTGTTTTTGTTCGGGTCCAGGCATGAGAATGCATGGGGGTGAGGTGGGGAGGGCGATGGATATCGCGAATGTGTCGAGTTCAGTCTACCTCACGAATGCCAAATACCAGGTTGTGATCTTCGAATCCCTATTTCATCTGTGCCCCGGATAGAAGGACCACAGTGTCTGTGATCACGTGGTAAATAGAAACACGGTTGTATCGGTATATTCAGATCATGTTTGTCTCTCTCTCTCTCTCTCTCGTCAACCAGCAAGGATCGTTCATTCGTTAATATTACACCCGGTTCGAAGTAGTATGTGAGAACTGAAAACACGTTCTGCACCTACCGTTCCCGTAAAAATGCAATAAAAATCAATGAAGCATAATAATCACCTCACACACGCACACACAAAGCTGAGGCAGATGCAGTTTTTATGCTCAGTCGTGGTGGCACTCCGGTGAATCATGGCGAATTCTCCAGCCTCAATCGACTACCCATTCCGGCCGCAAGTGAAGAGGTTTGATTTGGATATGTCAAGCGTACAATATTCACCTCAGGAGATGTTCGTTCACATCAGTGATCCGGAAACGTGTCGGGGTCAGAGCGTGTGCCACACACTCTCGCATCCCATCCATCCCAATTTTTAAATATCTCAAGTGGTTATCTGATGAAACCCCAGTATGGCATACAGCGGAATAAAGTTTCATCATTGGGATGTTTTCTTACCCGGAACTTTGTATGACACCACTGCACTGCTTAAGCCATGAAATGATTCAGCCATGTAAATATCCCACGAGACAAGCGATGCGTGAGCTTGTAAGTAATTCTCATATTGCAATTCTATTTTTGAACTAGTGAACTAGTAGTGCAAAATCATACCATAATGACATAAAGTAAACTTAAATGAATCAGTCTGAATGACCTAGATGCATAAAGCGCTAGATTTACAGTTCGAACCCCTGTCAACTGGCACTAGAGGGGATTTTTCTTTGAGCCACTTGGTCCATGTCCCATCTTTCACTGGTGACGCTTACAGTCCGATGAGTTTGCATTACAAATGTCAATTCCCCAAATGTTGTGTATAATTTATTTAATACAGTTTCTACGCTTTTTTGATTCCTGTCCACTTCCACCTCAGGTGGCTCGTAAACGTCATGTGGGCAATAGCTCGGTCACATTCATTTTCCAGGAACCGGACGCCGCACCATTTGAACCGGACTCTATCGTGTCACGTTTTCAACAAGTGTTTATTGTGGTTCGTCTGGTTCAGTCGCATGAACAAACGCCATGTTACAGGTAAGTACACGCAGAATAAAACATCTACTTCCCCGGATTATCAATGCGGTAATGGAGTTTTGTATTCGTTCTGAGAGCTATAGACAACTTCTCGTAGACTTTGAATAAGCCGCAATCGGTGAAGCTGAATCCGTTGACCTCCACATGAACAAACCACATACTACTGTTGTCTCCTGTCGCTTGCTCATCCCTGTCCAATTGCGAGCGCATTCCCGATACAAAACCATAGCTATTCTGACTGCCCACGTTTCCTGTCTGGCTGTTGACCAGGTTAACGAGAGATGGAGGTGTGAGGGTGTCGGTGAGTAAGAATGAGGCTGAGATTACTTCATCAACAGGAC